CTGTGAGATGGGCTGTCGCTTTTCTTTGCCTTCCGTGTGATGTCTGGGGGGGCTCGGTTTATTTTTGGGGTTTTTTATGATTTTATTTTATATGGAAGAGAATGTAAGTAATGCCGTGTAACTGCGGATGCCGTGCAGGGAGAGAGCGAGCGGGGAAATACTTGGAAGTCAGGCTGAAATATGTGCAGGCAGTGGGCAGATTAGATAGAAAGGAAGTAAAACCATTTTACATTTGAAAGAATGCAGCTCCTAGGTAAGGATTCCGTGTCTCAGTCCGTGATGTTAACATGGTTGTTAAGAATGCGGGTTTGACTTAGATTTCTGATCTGGGAACTGCCTGGTGGAGCGTGCAGCCAGGGTAGATCTTTCCAGGTAAAAAAAAAAAAAATAAAGACAATAAGAATCTATTTTTAGGTGTTAATTTTATGCCTTGATAACAGCGTTCTGGAAAATGGAATAGATGTGTATATGAGAGTAATGGTATGATTAGAGAAATATAAGGATAAATGTGTGCAGAATATAAAATCCTCTGGGCTTTTTTTTCCTCTGTTTGCAGTGAAAAGGACTGAATAGGCCACATTTTGCAGGGTGTGAACTGTTGCAGTCTGTATTGGTCTGTTTGTATTAACACTGGTTAAAATTGCAGAGTATCAGTCACTAAAAATCAAGGATTGCTATACTAGTTTTCTAGTATCCATTTTTAATATAATTTTTCATGGCTATTGCATAAAAGTGGTGTGTGTTTCAAACAAAGAAGGGGGAGGGGAGCTTGGTGGTTTAAAAAAAAAAAAAAAAAGCATTCCTGTAAAAGAAATAGAGGTTATTTTTAAAGAATAGTCTAAATGTAGAGTAGTGAAGCAAAGGATCTCAGACAGGTAGATGTGCTGGTAGGAGAAGGTGTAGAATCCATTATTTCCAGGTGACAAGAAGGTATGTAAAAATAAGGTGAGCATCTTCATGCTGAAGCTATGTAGCAGAAGACAGGTATTAATCTTTTTAGATTATGTCAGAGCAGAACTGTCATGCCGGCCCACTAAATGAAATTCCTGATTCAACTGTTACAATACATATTCTTATTTTAATCGTGGGCCATGCTAAATATTGCAATTAGACAGCATTAGGGAATTTGTCATAATTTCTTTTTTCTTTTCCCTTAGAAAGGCAGTAATACCGGTTGCAGAGAGAATCGACAAGTGAATGATGTTTTTTTATCTTTATTTGACTAGATGCTGAATTACTCAAATTTTGCATTTGCATTTTGTAGAGTTTCTCCTCTGTTATCAAGGTCAAAAATAGCTTCTGTCCATCCTCCTCGCAGAATATTCTCAGTGGACCTTTTGTTTTAGAACTGCGAATTGTTACATTACTGGAGATGGGAAGGAGATTTTCACAATTATCTTCCCCCCCCCCAGCCGTGTCTTCTGAAATGCACAGCAGCATTGCTGTCAAGGCCTGGCCAGCTGCTGACCAGCCGTGATAGGCCTTCATTAAATCAATCAAATGGACACAGACCTACTTAATATATAATGAGAGGATAAACTCAGTGAGAAGGGTCTAATTCTGGGAATGGAAAGGATCCTATGTTTATGAAGTAGGATCTTTTATAATGATCATGGAGCAGAGGGATCCACTGTAGCTGGTGATAATAGATCCTACCATTTTTCCAGTAGCTGGGCTAAAATCTGTAACTTTGTTTTGACAGAGACTGTCTCTCTCATTGTGCTGCCTTTCATGATATCTTAAAGAGTATGGCAGAATGGGTACAACAAGGTTTGCAGGCTTTACGTGTTTTTTTGACAGCTTTTGTAAGCTAAGGAGTGGGAACCAATATGGTGGTGGTGAGATGCGAATCCTCCTCGTCGGTGGTAACGGACTTGTGTGGTCCAGAGTTGACTACGAAGGAGGATCATGTGGAAATTGTTTGTCATTTGCTTTAACAGGGATTGCATTACAGTGAGGTGCTCAGTGTGTTCAAATTTTGGGGGTTTTGGCAATAATTGCAATATATGGTGCAACTCAAGATTACTTTTCATTCACAGTGTGAGGTTTGGGTATTGCTTGTGTCGTAAAAAGTGAAGAAATTTTTTATCAAATGAAAACTTAAAGAATCACTCAGTTTGAATCTAGATAAAAATCTGGATATTGCTTTTGGTTCTTATCTGTACACTTGGCGGTCAAAGAATGCACTACAGCTAAAAGGAAAGAAAATCTAAACGCCAGTATCTCCACGTAGAAATAGAAGTTCTTGGAACATCACCTGATTTTTATTAAAAATCAGCATATATATATATATACTATTGTATTTGATTGTATTTAAGTTGTTCTGTCAGAGAAGAAATCGTACCTATTTGTTTCTCAGGATGGAATAGTCAAATACTCCCTGTTTTACAAGGGAACGTGTAGGCAACACTTGGTTTTGCCTCTCTGTCTCCATTCTGATTCCAAAAGAATCAAGATTTTAACATGCAGCTACTTGAAATATATTTTCAGTGCATGTTCTTATTAAATACATACCTGTAAGATCAGAGTGAAAGTAAGGAATTCGCGCTTTAGAGTTTGAATTTTACAAGTTTCAAAAGTGTCTCTTTTTATAGTATCAAGACCTGGGAAAAGGGATTTAAATCTTATCTGTAGAATTGATTATAACACTGTCTTTGAGTGACTTTTCCAACTTCTCTATGTCATTTTAATAGCAGTTCCTTGTTCTTTCACTTTTCCCCCCCCTAATCCAACATGCAAAAAATGTTCAGAAAAAAACTCTGGCTGGCTGGTCTCCATGCCTCTCATTGAAGAAAGAGTTGTAGCATCTCCAGGGGTATGCTTAGAGGAATTTTCTCTTAGTCTCCATTTTGAGTCACCTGAAGGATGTATGTGTAGTATATTTAATAGTGTGCATTCATTCAAAGTTTTTAGGGTCCTTCACCACAGCGTTAAGGAACATTGGTCATAATAGTGTGCATTCATTCAAAGTTTTTAGGGTTCTTGCATCACCACAGCGTTAAGAAATGTTGGTCACGGTTGCTTTACGTTGTTGAGCAGGGAAAATGCCAGAAGCATTTTCCAATGCCGCTGTTCTGCAAAGAAGCAAGGATTTCAGTTCTCGAGATAAGTCATTACCATATATTTTATTAGCACCCAAGTTCATAAGGATGGATGAGTGTATGGAGGCCATGATGTGTTTTAGGAGCCTTGAGATTCCTAAAAATGATCGGTAGTGAGCTATTGAAATATTTACATTTTGCTTCAAACTAGTTCCTGTTTCCCATTTCGCAGTTTCTTGAAGTGACTGTGGGAGACCACATAAAATGATAACCGAATTGTCCATTTCTGGTACAACCTATGTGTATTTCAAGATAACATTGAAAAAGCTGACTTGAAAAGTTAAATACAGGAATACGGTATTTTCAGAGGTAATGAAGCATGGTATCCAGAAACAAGTGGTTTATTTGATATATATTACAGAATCACAGAATGTCGGGGGTTGGAAGGGACCGCAAAAGACCATCTAGTCCACCCCCCCTGCCAGACCAGGACCACCTAGAGCAGGTCACACAGGAACGCATCCAGGTGGGTTTTGAATGTCTCCAGAGAAGGAGACTCCACAACCCCTCTGGGCAGCCTGTTCCAGTGCTCTGTCACCCTCATACTAAAAAACCCTGCGCAGCTGTGATGTGTAATACGCAGAATAACCTTTAAAAAAAATAGCTAAACATTGATTAGCGAGCCATCCTTCTCCGGCGTGCATGCGTTTGTAGGAGTTCTGGCTGCTGTGAAGCACGGCCTGCATCATGCCATGCACAAATGTTCTTTGCAAAGGGTTCCTTGCTCACAGTTTTATGCTAACAGGCGTTCTCAGAATATTCCTCAGACTGAGGCGCAGCTCTAGCATGAGTCATTGTTGAGGATGGTTGAATTCCAGGTTCTTGTTGGTAGAAATTAACATTTTAAGACCACTCTCATCTCCACATGGTGTATAGCTGTTAACTTGTTGCAATTAGCTTAATTCTTTTCATTTCCTTAATTAGTGTTCAAACTTGGTATCAAAAAGCAAATGTGCAAGTGATGAAAACGCATTGAAGTACTCTGAAGCAACAAAATTACATTAACTCTAATTCTAGCAGCTTGTGCTGATCATACGCTCTTCTGAACTGCAAATCCTGGACACGTTGTTCTTCCTCTTAGCTTGCATTTATTTCACAGAAGAGTTTATGGGATTGTCAGTCTATTAATAACATAAAAGAAAGATCTGTCCCTGGTACCTTAGCCCTGTACTGATTGAGGATATGGTGTACGTGCTGGTAAGTAGAGATGCATTCCTTGTTTTGTAAAAGAAACTATTTGGTCCTTTGTACTCCCACTCAGCTCTACAGGTTAGCATCCACAGAAGCTTTAACATCTTTCTGTGGAGTAAACGATGAGTCAGGTTAACAGAGCTATATTCTTGTTTAAAACCACGCTAAAGACAGAGGCACAACTCATAGTGAATAAAGTGGCTTGAAACCAAATGAAGCAAAGACAGTTACAAGTTTTCTACCTGTCTCGGTGGGTTTCAGGTTGTGCATGTTTGCTGGTTGTTATTCTCAAAATAATTGTACAAAACACTTGAACGCTGTTAGTATTACTTGGAAGGCAGTAAGAAGTTGAGTTGGGAAAGGAGTAGGTCCCTGATACAGAGATCCTGTCATTGTGGATTTCGTTGTTTTACTGTTTACAGTATTCTGTAATGGATGTGACCTGCTAATTGGAAAGGAGGAAAAAAAATCTCAAACCCATAAAACTTTAAATTATAAGCAAAAAAGGGCGTCGGAGATTTTTTTTTTTTTTGGGGGGGGTGTTAAATTTAAATGACATTCAGCCTCTCACCCTGAAACAAAAAAACTTTCTCATGTTGCATTTAGTTATGGCTGTTGGGTGAAAACCAGAAAGGTCTCAATTTTGAACTTGTGCCACTTAAAAATTTCATATTGTTTTGCCTCTCACTCGAACTTACCTTTGGCTACAGTCTCCCTTTTTTGCAACATCTGTATAGAAAAAAAAGTGAAATGGAGAGACAGAACTCTTGTAAGAGAACTGATGTTGAACAATTGTCACTGTGAACTTAATCGTGCCCAGCTTAAAATGGGCATAAGTGTCTGGATAGGAGAGGTGGGTTTCGGAAGGTAGCAGTGTCACCCCTGGTACCTGCTGGAAAGAGGCATTTTGGGAATTTTAGCTCTCCGCTCACTCACTGGTGGTGATCACAGGTTGTGGCATCAACGTTGCTCAGGTGTTTTCTGGACTTTGGGTGCAGCTTTGAAGGGTGCTGATACAGCAGCTTAGATGGTGGCTGATGTATTTAAAATAAAACCCAACTCTAATGCAAAACAGTAGGCACTCCTGGGAAGTCAGTATGTCCAGTTACAACTGGATAACCATGATGAAAGTTGACCCCTCATAAAAATCTGTGCCTCTTAATGGTGCAGTTACCATATTGACGAAGGGTTGTTCTTTCTCATTTTGGCCAGTATCAGAAAAGGAGTTTGAAATGGCTGCTACGTGATTTATTCCTTGGTGACAGTTATTCGGGTCTTATTGAGGTCACCTCTCAGAAGCGTTTGGTGTTTGCTCTGGCACTGGTGCCAGGCACGGTTCAGACCCTCTCTGTCAGGGGTGCCAGCCTGGCTCACGCATCATCAACACAGAGAAGTAGGTACAGGATTCAGGATGTCTCTCATAGGTGGATGAATGTTGCAGTCAGGTTTTATGCCCCCATCCTGTAAGTACGTAAAAGCTTTTAATCTTTCCTTTTTGCTTTTCTTCAGCTGAAAATGCTGGGCATCAGTGAAATGGTTAACATTCTGTCTGCAGGAGTGCTATTTCTAACCCACAGTTCTGCTGTTCTGACCAAAGGTTCTGGTTTGGCATTATGCCCACGTAAAAGAAATGGTTTGAATTCAACTATTCAGAAGTATTTCTGAACGTTTACTGTTATTTAGATATATTTAGTTTGCATAGTTTGAGTCGTATTGCTTTTAATCAGTAGATAGTAGAAATTTCTCGATCTTGAAGTTGGTTCGCAGTCTAGATGGAGAGAAAAAAAAGCTGTGGTTTCTATAGCAATAATTCATTTGTTAACCTGGAAGAACAAACTAATTCTATAGATAACTGTTTCTTTTTATATAATCACTATAATATGCAGTATGAGGAAATGGTAACTGATGCTGTATGATGTTGTGTTTATGCATTTAATTTCCTCCAATTATTTCCCAAGAAAAAACAGGAAAATAAGAAACAGATATTGTTTCTGCCTGATTGTGAGTGAGCCCTGTTGGGCTTTGAAGCTCAGAACTGACTGAGGCAGGCAGGGCTGAAATTCATTCTGATGCTGGGCAGATTGCTTTCTGGTTAACAAGGCAGTAGCATATACATTTACATTTCTCTGCCTGTCTTCCTGCCCTGAAGCTTAAAGTTTACAGAATGCAGAGACGACTGAAATTGAAATTGCTATTCTGGTTTCCTTCTGGAACTGCTTGTGACTTTTCTGTTATATTTAATAATGTAGTGATAAGATTTTTTGACACGTACTGTACGTTTTTCTTTCAAGACAGCTGCGGTCGTCCTTGTGCAAACTGCCTTACCAGCAATCCCTACGATTGCCAGGCTGGCAGGAAGAAAGTGGCATGCGTGAAGCGTGGCAGGGAAAAGAGGGGTTTTTTTTCTTCTTTTTTTTTTTTCTTCTGGTCTCTGCTAGCATCTTGGAATTCCATGAAGTAGATGTAGATATACAGAGATTATTTCCCTCCCCCTAATAAATGTACTCCTGAGGTGCACACTTCAGTCTCCTGAGCACATTTTGTTTTCTGCATATTTCACCATTACATGGGTACAGGGCCAAATGGGAAGTGGTTTGGGTTTAGTGCTTGCTGTTGGGCTTTTATACAAATAAATTGTTACTTTGCATATTTTATGTTTTCATTATGACTGCATTTGTTTTCACAGCCTGAGGAAGAGCTTGATCCTGAAGAGAGGGACAACTTCCTCCAACAGCTTTACAAGTTTATGGAAGACAGAGGTAACACTGAATTGTTTAAAATTGTTTGTATAATCTCTAGTCCGCTTTTTTAAAATGCCTTTTAAAAATTGCTCTTGAATGTAATGGTTGTTATTATGAGCATGTTCTGATGCCAGCGAGAAAAGATAACAGCCCGTGTGGTGCAAGGAAAAGGACTTCTACCCGTTTCCACGTGTGGCAGGTCTGCTTCCAGTACTTTGAAGCACAGCACACAAAGGAAACTCAAATTCTCCCTGAGGTGTTTTGGTTTTGCTTTGCTTTCACAAATCCTTTTTTATGTTAACAATCCCTGTCAAATAAGCTCTTGCTTGATTTCTTGTTGTGACAGCCGTGGCTGGGAACTCTGCTGCTGTTAATCTCAGGCTGGAACCTGAGGAGGCTATTTGTGAAGGTGAAATTCAACCAGCAGAGAACGGGAGATGTGCCATCTTCAAGTCTCCTTTGCAAAACTGCCTTAATCATGCGCAGATGTAGCAGTGATACTCACCTGAAGAGACAACTTCAAAGACTCTGCTTTGTCCTGTAGCTAGAACAAGAAAATAGCGTATTTTAAATGTCTGTCTGTGCAGAATTGGGTGAGACTGTAATAAATGGGAATAGTTGAAGGCCTGGCGTAAGACGCTATTGGCAGTGCGTGCGCTGTGTAAGGAGAGCAGGATATACCTGCTGACTGGGGAGAACTTTTGTTGCATAAGCCGTGCACATTTGCAGCTGTGATGAGACTGACACTGAAATGGAAGGTTTTCTGTTCCTTGGCTGTATACCCTGCCCTTTTGGAAGAAGTTTTGTCTTTTAGAATATATTCGATTTATTCATTTTACTCATGAACTCACTATTTCAGTTCAAATACTGTCAGTGTTAATCCTGCAATAACATTGGTGGAGGTAGATTACAAGTGCAACTACTGCCTTTTTACTTTTTTTTTTCCTTTCTTTCTTCTTGACAAAAGTTACCTGAATGATATTTCCATAACATTGGTGGAGGTAGATTACAAGTGCAACTGCTGCCTTTTTACTTCTTTTTTTTTTCCTTTCTTTCTCCTTGACAAAAGTTACCTGAATGATATTTCCAGAGCAGCATATAGTGCAGCGAATGTTGGTGTACTTGAATTTGAAATGACCAGAGCTAAGAGTAAAATGTAAAGTGCATGTAGCGTCCAAGTATTTCCCCTTTTCTTTTTCTCTTGGGTTTTAGAATGGGGGGGGGATCAAGTTACCTTTGTAAAAGAGTCTCTGAGTCCCTATTAAAGAGGTGTGTTCTAGACCACAGAATCGTAAAAGAACGGTTCCAAGTCTCCAATATTGCCAGTTCTTATCACGGGTTTAGAAATTGATCATGTATTGTAGCAAAGTATACTGGAGTTCATCAAGTACAGTTTTGAGGCCTCCTGTGTACAGCCAATGTTTCTGAGAATGACCTGCTGTGGGGGAATAAGAGGCTATGTCAGGGGGAAAAAAATCCCTACACTGCTGGACTCATCCATGATTGTCTTTCTTTTCTAGTAGCCTGATTCTTCCCCCTCTGCTGTTTTCCTCCTTCCTCACTCCCTTTTTTAAGCACTCTTAGACTATAAACCAGGTACGGATCATGTCAGGGACTTGTAGAGGCAAAAGAAGAAAGCATTTGTGCACTGAATTTCAAGACTCTGTCCAGAAACTGTTCTTTAAGCTGATACGTCGATGGAGCAACTTACAGGACTTTTTCAGGACTGGGGCTTTCCCCCTGCCTGTCTACTTTTCTTTTTTTTTCCTTCTCTGTCCCTATAGCAAGATTTCTGCTCCCACCAGATTTGTTCTATATTCTGTTCTCTCAGTACGAATGTTTTGATTCCTGTAGTCATGACAGTATTCCCAAAGTCCTATAAAATTATTTTAATGATTCTAAATATAATTGCATGAAGATAAGAAGCAGCAGGGAAGAGGTTTGATATTCTTCCTTGCTGTGAGGAATACTGTCTACGTATACAGCCACTTGTGCCAAGTCACTTTCGGTTTCTCCTTTTGAAATTAATTATTGTTCTTTATATCATTGCCACTCATCTGATCCAAGTTCCTTCTTTTTCCCGGAACTGTCCCAAATATTCACATCCTGTTAGGCCTTTGTGCTTTTTCACATTCTGATAGTTTGCCCCTGTATCTTTTTTCTGATCCAGCATTTCCCTTCTTCCTCATTCCTTTTAGACCACAGTGTTCAGAGTTCATCTCTTCGCACATTGCTGTATTCCAGCATTCATCAGGGGTTCTGCAGAGCTTGCTGCGATTCTGGCTGTCCCCCCTGCTCGAGAGAGGAGCCGTGGGCTGCAGGCAATTGGCCTCCTGAAAAGGAGCTCGAGAACTCTTGGTTATCAAGCAGCTGGTGGCAGTGTGCTAGTAAACCACCCAGAAATAAGTGATGCATTCAAAACAGGGTGAAGCCTTAATTGGTGGTTGGAAACTACAGACTTGTGACATATCTTAGAAGTATTAAAAACAGATTTTAAACTGTAGAAAGATACTAGTAATCAAACGTGTGCCAAAGGAATGAAAGAAACAGCTTGCTGTTCTTTGTGATAACTTCTTGTTTCTGCTTTTGTTTTACTTAGGTACTCCTATCAATAAACCACCTGTTCTGGGCTACAAGGACCTTAATCTCTTCAAACTTTTTAGACTGGTATATCAGCAGGGTGGGTGTGACAATGTAAGTGTTGGATGTTTCCTGAGCTAAGTATGTCTGTTCCCTCTTAAGGGCTGTGGCTTGTGGCTCTGTTAGATATCTTTCCTTAATGTTCTTTGTTAACAAAGCCTGAAAACTTCCTTTCTTTTTTCTTTTTTTTTTTTTCCCCAAAGATTGAGAGTGGTGCTGTATGGAAGCAAATTTATATGGACCTTGGCATTCCTATTTTGAACTCGGCTGCTTCCTACAATGTAAAAACTGCTTATAGAAAGTAAGTTCTCATATTGTATAATGGTGAAAACACTTTGCCTTTTTTTTTTTTAGTAGCATGTACGATATTCAAGTGATTTTTGATAGTTTAGTGAAGCAGTAATTGACATTCTTCGGTTAATTAGCAGTTGTGAGCATTTCCTAGTGCCAAGGATTGAAACAGCAGAGGAAAGGACGGAGTGCTCAGGGCTGCATAAGTTCCTGTTGTTCTAATACATTAGAATTCCACTAATTTCCTTATCAAGAAGGATTCATTTTCAGCATGTGATGATGCCACTTCAGAGTACAACAATGATACTTATTAAAAAAAACCAAACAAACAAAAAAACCAAAACCAAAAACAAAAAAAGCTTTGGTAAATTCAGCTTTGCAGTTTGTGGTGATTGACAAGAGCAGACTGTCCACAGTTGCATGCTCATTGAAGTCTATAGATGCTGCATGCAGTGAGGAGAGTTTTATACCAGTTTCTTTAACTTCCTGAAAAATGTTGCTAGAGATAGTCATGTTTCAGATTGTGTATTTATTTCAGATTGTGTGTATCTTTTGAATCTGTAGAATAACGGCTTTAGGGCATAACTATGTATTTTGTTACGGTGGATGTGACAGTATTGAGTAGTAAAATCACTGCTGTAATAAAAAAAATTATTCTGACCCCTGGTTTTCAGCTGTGTTTTGACTTTTGAAATGGAAACCTTTTAGGAATGACACTTTTCAAGCTCATTTTCTAAATAAAGGTTATTTTCATTATTTATTCTCCTGGAAGTTTGACAAGAAACAATTGGGCTTTTTGAGTAACAGGGAAGAATGAGGTTCTCTTGACTTGAACCTAAGGAAATTTGGCTGGTTGAATAGGGATGACTAATGACTCAACTCATGTTAATGTTGATGAAGATGAAAATATTCAGACTATCTTCAGTGGGATTTGAACTGGGCACATATTTAAGGTCTGTATTTTACAGAGAAGAGTATTTATCATAAAAAGAGTAACTGGTAAATATGTACTAGGTTGCTGTTACAGTGGAAATAATTACGTTGTGTGGGCACATGATAGTGTGTTGTAACTTGCATACTTAGTCTTTGTTGAATAAGCTAGTTTAGACTTCCCTCACCTGTAGCTGTGCACACCGGCAGTTACCAGAGACCGAGCTGATGCATGGCAACTTGTTACCGCATGGTAACTTGTTGTGTGCCCCAGTTCTGTTACTGGGCTGATTTTAGCCGTCGTTGTGCATTTGCAAAACGGTGCACGTGTTCTTGGGCTTTACTGTCGCTGAGTTCTTAATTGGGCGGGGATGAAGTTAAATTTGTGGGAAGCACCTCTGTGTATCCTTTCTCACCAGTTGACTTGTGTGCGTAGTTGTTTAATTTCAAAATTTTCTCTGGCTTGTTGTTTTGTGTCTATTTGGGCTTGTTTTGGCTTTTATTTGTTTTTCCCTGAAGTTACTGCTTCTCTTGCTTTTCTGTGAGAGGGAAAATAGGTTTTATGCATTTCAATAAATAGAAAGTAAAACGTGAAATATAAATGAAAGTTTATTTGTATCTATAGGTATCTGTATGGTTTTGAAGAGTATTGCCGTTCTGCAAACATTCAGTTTAGGACCATCCATCACAATGAACCAAAAGTGGTAGAAGACATACAGAAACACGTGGAACCAATGGAGGAAAGTGTAAAAGAGGAACAAAAAATGCCCCCAACAGAAGTTAAAAAAGAAGCAGAAGAAAATTATTCCAGCAGTGAAAGTGAGAAAGAAGAAATAGAGCTAAGATCCCCAAGGGTAAGTGGTTTGAGCTGATTTCTATTTAGTACTTAACAAAACCCCTTTGTGTAGTGAACAGTTTACATAATGAGTTTTCCCTTGTGGAGTGATTGTACGTTTGAATTGGCGTACTGGTACAGGCGTAGGACAGTGTTCTGTGAAGGCAGGGTTGGTGTTAGCTGTTAATTGTGTTCTACCTGTGAGTAGAATCAGTTGTGATTATTTCTTCATATTTTAAACCATCCATGGAATTTGCTCAGGCTGTGTTGGATGTCAGACATGTTTCGATTCAGGGATGGCTTGAGAGCTGTTGAGAGCTGTGTGTCATCAGAACAGTGAAACTCAGCAGGACAGTCTTGGTTGTGAGTAAGAATTTCCACAGGCCCATGGACCCAGGAGCTTTCCGGCAAGAAGCAGGAGTATCAAGGGACTGCTGGAGCTTTAAGAATCAAAGGCAGACCCATTTCTCTGAATTGTTTTTTATCACAATATCTCTTCTTTTAATAAAAGAAACTGTGATTTTACGGTAGGCAGACAACAGTAGAGGGAGGAGCACTGAGGTTTTGTCTTCCTTTGTCTTTGAATGCTGCAGAGGGGAGAGTTGTGCTAGTAATTACCTAGGTAAGACCCATCAGCTAGCGGGTACCGAACCGGTGGAGAGCACAACAATACTTGTAATGTGTTTGAATACGACTCAGTAGCACTCCTGGTAATTCTGCTAAAAGGGCATTTTGTGTTCCTTACTAGAGCGTGATTCCTGAAGGGCAAGGAGTTGGTACTTCTTAAATTGGTCAAGTTGTGAGGATTCTGATCAACTAAAATGTGATTTTATTTAAGTGCTTCTTGCAGACCAGCTTTTCAAGCAAGTATATGGCCTTTTAATTTAACAGATGAAAAGACATAGTGTAAACACAAGTTTGGATTTGTATTACATATTATATTTCTGCCTAACTGCAAGTGGTTTTCTCCAAGCTGTATCACCCTTAACGAACTTCTTGCCATGACATTAGCTTTGTTCATTTATTTTTTGGTTTTGGAGAAAACTGGTGAGAGGATAAAGAAATGGAAGAATTTTTATCATTGGCTGTCTGTGTTAATTTGTTAATAATTAAATAGTATTTGATTATGTATTTTATTACTTTAATCCAGTTACCAGCTATCTATTTACGAATTATTATTTTTCCAAAGTATTTACCATTATGCTACTGTGAATTTTAATTACTGTAGTGCCTTCATTAATGTTATCTTTGGATGGCCTCCAGAGAATTAATCTTGCATTCATAATGTATTTTAAATGTTCTGATTACAAAGCAATGACCCTATCAAGAGACTTCTAATAATAAAATTATAAACCTGTACCGGATCCCCAAGAACCCGTTGCAGAAAGTCCCAGACAGCGATTGTCCGGCTACTCAAAGTTGCTTTTAAAAATGCAATACTTGGAGTTTTTCTAAAGCTGACAAATTTCCATTTTGTGAAATCAACAGGTGGCTGCCAGGATTGAAGATGCTGAAAGGAAGATGTGTTCCCTCATCAGTCCTGTACAAGCACTTTAATTAATGCTATTTTTGTAGCTGACCGAGACAACTTTCTATGAGGGCAACAGACCTTACAGGTCCAAACGAATGTCCTGACGCTCATCCTCTTTGTTCCAAACCAAGCAGAATGGTTTTATTTTGCCTTTTGTTTCCTCAGTAGCAGGACTTTAAGCTATTCTCTTAACACCAAAAAGCAAAATACTCTTAAAATCTTATCTCCAGCCTTTCTTCTCTACAGGAAATAGTATGTTTATAACTTTTTGCTGAGATTTGGAGATTCTATACAGAGAATAATTGACAGGAGTCATTAAACTGATCTTATTTCTGTTCTAGGGACGAAGACGACTTGCCCGTGATGCAACCCCTGGTAAAAAAGATAGTGAAGAGGATAAAACACAAGACAAATTAAAAGACAGTAACAAAGAAAACAAGGATATAGAGGAAACACCTGAGAATGCAGAAAAGAAAGAAAATGAAATTCCACTAGGGAGAAAAAGTACACCAAAGCAAAAAGAGAAAAAAATTAAAAAACAGGAGGATTCTGATAAAGAGTCAGATGAAGAGGAAGAGAGGCAGAGGTAAACGTTAACTTGTATCACCTTATGGGTTTGTCTGTGTCAAGATTGAGCCATCCTCGAAGCAGGAGTACACGCAGAGTTGGAGATATTACCAGCCAAAATGTGGAAATCAGGGACCTAATTCACTCAGCCAGACAGGAAAGGGAAGGTTTTATTTCAAGCTTGTGGAGTATGCTGTACGTTAGGGAAGCAGCTTTTTCTGGCAGATGCCAGACAGTATTTTTCACTTTCATTTTCTTGAAGGTCTTGCCAAGGTTGCGTTGGTGTTTGATGACACCAGTACGTCCAGACGCCGAGTAGAGCAGCGGCAGGCAGTGTGCCAGGTGCTGCCTGGATGGGGAGCAACTGCTCGGGCAGTTGAAGCATCAATGGCAAAGAGAGCCCCTCTTCTCGTGTGCTCTTGTCAAGTGTTCAGTGATGGCTGGTGAACCTGCAGCTGGCTTGGTTTTATTGTTACTTGATGTGTTGTAGGCAAGAGGGGGGTCAGCTAGTGAAGCGATGGAGAAGGGAAGAGGGAGTTTGAATGAAACCTAGAGGTGGGCTGAAGAGGAGGGGCTGGAGAGACACGGAAGGGGAAATAGCATCCAGAGACTAAGCATGGCCAGTTGAATTGGGTTTATAGTCCTGGCTACAAACGAGTTGTGCCCAAGTGACTAATTTATTGCCGGAGTAGACCTCTTCTTCGCTAACTTCAGCTGTGGTCAAGGGCAGCGTCTTGCCTGCTTAAGCTGGCTTTCCTGCCTGGTTTTTCTTGCCCGTGCGGCTGAGTGGTGCAGACACAAGTTGCTGCTGAACAAAGCCTGATAGGAGTGTTGCATATTTCCTTCTAAAGAGCTCTGAGGAGTGGGAAGAACACACAGTTATTTTAAAGAAAATGTCACTGTGCTGCCCAGTAAAAAAATCTTGCAGTGCAGCATAGCATGCAGAAATGCCTCAGATGAAGGTGCCGTGTGGGTTGTGCAGCAGGTCGCAGAGGTATGTCAGATGACTAAGGCATCAAAGAGTTTTCTTTAAGTGGTCTGGATGGTGCTTGTCATCTTTCTTTTAATTGTTTGCCACAGCAGGATAGTTCACTGTTCACAGCACCCTAGCAAATATAGTTCATTAAGAGCAAACCCATAGTCTTTTTCAGTATTTTCTTCCTTGGTGACTTTTTTTGCAGTTTAACTTTTACATTATGCTAAATTCACCCTAAAATAGGAAGAGACATATAGGTAAAAATAGGTTATATTGTAATCCTTGAAAATATGTTTAAGTAGAATGTTTAAATATTATATATAGCTATAATAAGAGGTAGATACAGCTAATAAGAGCTGTGTAGACACTTTTAATCTTGGTTAAACACTCTTGTAATCAACTTTTTTTTTTAATGGAATGGCGTTCATATCCATGAGAGGATCACTGTGGTGGTGATTCAGACTTAGGTACACTGTTAGTAAACTGCAGCCTATTAAGCCAACTGTAGAAGAAAGAGGGGTTTTTTTAAATCGTGTGTCAAAACCAAGTCTATTTTAAAAACTGAAGTTAGCTCTTCCCGTCTTATTTAGGAGCCAAACACTGAGTTAATTTATTCTTCTTTTTGTATTATGAAAATATTAATCAAAAAAAAAAAAGTCTTTAAAATTTGAGGTAGTTGTACACCCAATAAATTGCGTTTCAATTATAATACAGTTTTTCTGGATGTTTTTGGCACTTACCCCTATTCTCTCTAAGTTCTAGTCTTGATTTTTAAAAGCAGTGTCCAAGCTCGCTTCACAGGCAGTGCAGGATGCAGAAAATGAAAAAAATTTTTATTGGAGCCTTTTTCTTTTGTAGTAGCTTGGCTGTGCTAGTTAAATGTTAAAAACTTGATTGTCACTAATTAGTGGGCATTTTAAATACACTTTACTGCAGGGAGGAAATTGAGAACAAAGGCGAATCAGAAGGTGAAGAGGATGAGGAGGACGCAGAACCCTGCCTGACTGGAACCAAAGTGAAAGTAAAATACGGTCGTGGGAAGACTCAAAAAATTTATGAAGCCAGTATTAAAAGCACAGAAATTGATGATGGAGAAGTTTTATATTTAGTTCATTACTACGGTTGGAATGTAAGGTGAGGTTAACAAATTGCCTTTCATTTCTTTGTCTCTTAAAAGGATTATTTGCAAAAGAATAAATAAAAGTGAAAGATGATCAGTGACCTGGCTTCAAATTGAGTTGTGAACATTACAGGATCTGACTCTATTACACTTTTCAGTGTCAGTAATTTTGTTCATGGTATGACACTATGGCATTGAAATTGCAGAATATACTTACTTGTATGTTTCCAAGTTTCCATCCAGCTTAAAGTGAGCAATCCTCAGTCCTCACAGGAGTCCGTCCCTGTCACTTGCTGTGTTAGCACTTACCAGACTTAAGGGAGTCATTGATAATGGTGCACGTACGTACTATGAAGTGTATCGAGCCCTGAAAGTTTGGTAACAAAATTTATTCTTGTATTGAATGTTGACTGTGCTTATAAAGAACAGTTGTTACGTGCAGAGATGGTAGGAGAGAGCTGAGCACCAAAGAACTGCAGGAAAAAAAATTATCAATCGCTCCTCTTGGCAGCCATGCTCTATATTCAGTACTGGTGTAGAAATGGCTGTTGTTGTTAAGAGCATTGTGATTATGTAGGCAAAAATTATCACAAAATTGATTGTTTTTAAAAATAGAACACTTCTGGTGTATAACTGGAGATGGTCCATTCCATACATTTCTAAGTAAATGAAGTAAATTTCTTTATGTGGCAACATAAAGTTGGGGGGGGGGGTGTCCTCCAAATAAATACTTACTTGTGTCCCTTTACCTTATATTAGTAACACAGGAGATTTCTGAGGAGCGCTAGTAGTGTATTTGTGCTTTTCAGAATCTCATCCAGCTTGTTGCTATAATTTGAAAACTTTACCTTTTTTTTAAAAAAAAAAAAAAAGGCTATTTTCCTGTTGAGGCATGGTGTGGTGAAAACTGCCTTTTGTATATGATGTGCAATAACTGACAAACTTTATAGCTGACTCAGTCCCCCAAGTTCCAGTGCTTTGCTAACAAGAGACAGGGAAGTTTGCACCTCCGTTCCCCCATCCTATACGTTTTTTTATGGGCTTGATATGTACTTTGTCTTTCTAATGCCAGATACTGCATGTGTTTGTAAATATATGCTCTGCTTTTGTGCCTCTCCTTAATAAATATTTTCTGTAACTCAGTCTTTTAATCCTCATATTGTAAACAACATTTTAGCTGTAGTGATAACAGTATGTTGTTGTTCACTTGTAGGTATGATGAATGGGTGAAAGCCGATCGGATTATCTGGCCTGTGGACAAAGGAGGACCAAAGAGAAAACAGAAGAAAAAAACAAAAGTAATGGTTATTTCAATAAGTTTCTTGTAGTACAAAACTTAATAACTGTTCCTTATATTAAAAAAAAAAAGTTATTCAGTCCACAGGCTGCTTTTTTAGTAGCAGTATAGGGCAAAAGGAGAAAAGATTTGATGATCAGCAGTGAAACATATTAAAAAAAAAATTCATTGTTTTCCCCTCAGAATAAAGAAGAGAGTGAAAAGGATGAGAAGAAGGATGAGGAGAAACAAAAATCAAAGCGTGGGCGACCCCCTCTGAAATCTACTCTTCCATCAAACACGTCTTGCGGTTTATCCAAAACACCTAATAGTGAAGGTAAATCAGGAGCCAGAAGTGCACGGAACAACTTGTCAGATTCCTCACCATTACCAAATGGAACAGAAGGTACATCTGGTGCACTCGTGTTCTGGCATGGAAGTGCATGTAAACATGATGTAATGCAGTGCATTGGTGTGACAACTTCAGCGAACACAGTGCTGTCAGCCGCTTTAAAGTCCTGCTTAACCAGTCAGTGTACAAGCAATATAACAAACTTTTGGCACAGGTTTTACTCTATAAAAATTAATACTTTCGATTTTGATTTTAGCAACACCTCGCAGGCAGACGAGACGTAGCTCAGGAATGTTTGATTCTGATAGAGGATCAAACGGTGAGTGATTGCAGTCCTGTGTATGCTTTTGAGGTTTTTTCAGTACCTTTTATATTAGAAGTTTGATTTTTATTTTTTACACTTTGTTTTTTTTTTTCTTTTTTTTGTGGTTTTTTTTTTTTCTTCCCTGTGAATTTTATTGAGGAAGTAGTTGAGATGACGCTGCTGAGGAGCACAGTTTGCTCACAGAAGAGCTGTGGCACGGAAACAACTGTGCAAGTCATTCCATATTCTTTAGCCAGAGCCTTCCAGTCCTAATCTTGAACATACCGAATCTAATGGTATAGTGATAATCTTTACTGTGGTAATGAAGTCCTCAACCTCAGTACTACATCATCCAGCAGAGTTGTTAATTACATACAAATGGCGGCAATATTTTTGGTATTTCTGAGCCTCTGTGAACAAGAAGTGAAATCACTGTCTCCTCCTAGTACGGGTCCCTGAATAATCTTTTGGTGATGTAATAATGCTGGCGCTGTACAAGGCGCGTGATTCGTACAATAGTTTAGCAGTGGGACGTCCATATAGTAGTGTGGAAGGGTTCGGGGTGTCGTTTGGTTTGGGTTTTTTCTGTTCAGGGGTGCATGGAGGGGAGGAGTCTTGGGGTTTGTTTTTGTAATGTCAAGTAGGAGAGGCAATATCCACAGGTGGATCGTGGGAATCTGTAGAACTGGTTTTGCTACTATAAACTGTAATTTGTTTATAGTGGCTTATTTGGGAAATAGTAGTAGTAGAATCGTAGAATGTCCCAAGTTGGAAGGGACCCACAGGGATCATCAAGTCCAACTCTCTGCTCCTTGCAGGACTACAGAAACAAAATCAGGTGACTAAGAGTGTTGTCCAGATGCTCCTTGAACTCTGATTGTACTACTACTGTTGCAGTTTCATAGAAATTTTGAGTAAAAATAAGAACTGTAATAAGTGTGTTGAATAATGCAGGTTCTTTAAGTGAAATGGTTTATTGTAAAGTGATGTTAATACCGTAGATTACTGCAAGAAAAAAAGAAGGTTTGTGTAGTTGAAAAAGGAAATTGTGTTGTAATTGATGATTTAGGGTGCTGTTTCCTTCTTTTTAACAATTTTTTGCAGACTCTGGCTCATCTGACAGTGAAGCAGATGAGTCATCTGAAAAGAATTTGAATGAAGAATTTTCTCCAGAAACTTCAGAACTGGAAAAAAGCGAAAAACTACATGATGAGAAGCTGGATGAAGAAAACCCAAAGATTCCTCATGCATTGAAAGAAAATGACAGGACTCAAGTACAGCCACTAGAAACACTGAAACTGGAAGTTGAAGAAAGTGAACAAATTGTTCAGATTTTTGGAAATAAAACGGAACAAATAGAAGAAATCAAAAGAGAGGCTGAAAAATCGCCTAAAGGAAAAGGGAGAAGGAGCAAGACAAAAGATCCCTCATTAGAGAATGCAAAGATTTTACCAGGAAGCCAAGACGAGGTGGTAAATGAATCTCTTACGGAACCTGAGAGATTAGACACGTCTTCCTTGGACTGTAAAGAAATTTCCAGCACTACTGAAAGTGAAACAGAACCTTCTACAAAAGATAAGAAACTTCTGAAGAGGAAAACTTTGGAACAGGCATCGCCTGAGAAGAGAAATCGACGAGAGAGTGAGATGGAAGTGCCAAATATTTTATCTGAAGAGAGGACCAATGAATGTATTGGAGCAGAAGAATGTAGAGGGCTGAATGCTGAAGAGTCCCTCAGAACTGAAAATGAGGAAATGCCATCCCTGGTGGCAGAATCCGTTCAGCACAGTCAGGAGCTGAGGAATGAGAACTTCGAACGTCCCTCTGAAGAAAATGAGAACGTTCCCTTAAAAGACGAGGACGATGCAATGCCTCAGATTGGTCCTGAAACTTTGCTCTGCCATGAAGTAGACTTGGATGACTTGGATGAAAAGGAGAAGAGCAGTAGTGAAGACACGATATCAGAAAAGCCGGACCCTAATCCTTCCAATTCCAATCCATCTGCCTTACCCCCTGCCGTCCAGTCGAGCTTTTCAGTGGCCTCACCTCTTGCGCTCAGTCAGGACGAGTCGCGCAGCATCAAGAGCGAAAGCGATATGACTATCGAAGTCGACAGCGTGGCAGAAGAGTCGCAGGAAGGTCTCTGCGAAAGCGAGTCTGCCAATGGATTTGAAGCCAGTACTACATCGAGCAATTGTAGTATAGCCGTGCAGGAGAGAGAGCTCGGAGAGAAAGGTGAGCCTTGCCTGGGAAAAGGCACTCTCTGCTGTAATGATTTCTGAAGTCGTCGTAAGTCTGGCGTTACTTCGCTGAAAACTGCTTGTTTTGTCTTCTGATTTTAAATTCCTTTGTTGCCTATAAATAAAAAAAAAACCCTTCTTAGTAGCAGAAATGTAGGCTTTTTTTTCTTCTTCTTCTCATTTAGGTCAGAAAAGACCCAGTGACAGCAATAGTGGAACACTGGCAAAAAAACAAAAGCGTACTCCAAAGCGAACAAGTGCTGCAGCCAAAAATGAAAAGAATGGAACAGGTACATTCCTGGAGGGGGAGAGGGGGAAGGTTATGCTGTCCTATAAACCCCCATAAGGGCCCGCTGTTCTCACTGTTACCCCTGATGTCTGTTGGATGGGACCTCCTTGTCAGGGTTTTTCATTATTACTCATCCTGATTATTGGCTGTTATCTGGAGAGACAGCTTCCCAGCTCTGTGGTAGCAGTGTTACCGGGAAATCTCTTGGCTATTTTTAGTTACTTCCTTAGGAAAAACTTTTCAACTTTGTATATTAGCAGTTACTAAATATTTACCATTTTGCTGATTTTTGTACGTTGGGTTGGTTACAAAGTTGGGAGAGGGGAGCTTGTTCTGAGTAGAAACATCTCATTTAAAGTCTTAAATTTAAGTGCTTCTCACGAGAAAAAGTGCATTTGTGAAGTACAGAAAAAATGTCTGATGCTGAAGAATAACTTTTCAGCAAAAGGAATCTTGTGTGATTTTTATCTCCAGTATGTGACTATTTTTTAACTTGCTATAGAAATCTATATTTTTGTGTTTCTATAGCTTATTTTTGGTGATGATTGTATTGAGTGAATATATTTAGGCCCCATGGCAGTATTGTTACTTTTAAATATCAAACTAAAATATTAATTATCTGACATACAATATTCAGACATATTTAACATGGCTGTGTAAAATACTTTGCAAATATTTGCATATGTCTGAAAATTTTATGTTACATGATAAAGCTTTTATGCTTTTACAGAATCACAGAGTCACAGAATGGTAGGGATTGGAAGTGACCTCTGGAGATCACCTGGTCCCACCCCCCTGCTAAAGCAGGTTCACCTACAGCAGGTCTCACAGGATCGCATCCAGGGGTGTTTTGAGCATCTCCAGGGAAGGAGACCCCACAGCCTCCCTGGTGTCCATGGCTCTGCCACCCTCAGAGTAAAGAAGTTTTTCCTCAGATTCAGGTGGAACTTCCAGTGCCCCAGTTTGTGTCCGTTGCCCCTTGTCCTGTCGCTGGGCACCACTGGAAAGAGCCTGGCCCCATCCTCTGGACACCCACCCTTTAGATATGGATAAGTGTTGATAAGGTCCCCTCTCAGTCTTCTCCAGGCTAAAGAGCCCCAGGGCTCTCAGCCTTTCCTCATAGGAGAGATGCTCCAGACCCACATCATCTTCATAGCCCTCTGCTGGACACTCCCCAGTAGCTCCCTGTCTCTCTTGAACTGGGGGGCCCAGAACTGGTCGTGTTTCAGAACTGTTCCTTTAGATGTGTAAAGCAGTTTGGTAAATACACACGGTCATGTACTACCTACGTATATTAATACAGTTTTAATCTTTAAGAAAGGGATTCTAGTGTCTGCTTTATATTAGAACACCAAAACACGTGACTTAAGATAGTTTATCAGTGCTCTAATATTCTTACTTTAATAAGCTTCTTTGACTTATCACTTTTTATTTAAAGCCCTAGTCAGCCCTTGACTTCTCCTGCAGTAATGATCAGGACACTTGAGAGTTCAGTGCCTGTTGTGCCTGGGAAGGTTATACATTGAATCTGATAGAGCTTTTCCTTGGGTGCGTTCTGGGATCCTCTGAGCAGGAAGGAGCAGATTTTTCTTAATCGTTTTTTTCTGACTATAGCTACAATTTTAAAAGCGTCCAGGTTGGTTTCTTTAGGTCCAAATACATTTCTCTTACTGCAGGACAAAGTAGTGACAGTGAAGACCTTCCTGTCCTGGACAGTTCAAGTAAATGTACTCCTGTAAAACACATAAATGCATCCAAACCACAGAAGATTTCTCGGTCACCTGCCAGAGTGATTTCGCCTCACATCAAAGATGGAGAGAAGGATAAACACAGAGAGAAGCACCATCACCAGAATGCTTCGCCTAGAGTATACAAGTGGAGTTTTCAGCTCAGTAAGAATTCTTTTAAGTGACTTGATTAGAGGGAATTTACAAGAAAATTTGTTCTGAAAGAAAAATGTACAAATTTGGAGTTTCTAAATTAGGTGTAGGCTTTTTACGTGTAGTTATAGAAGTGTGTTATCTTTGATGCTGCATCTTGTATACTTTTAAGAATTGCATTAATGTGTTTAAAATCACCTCGATGAAGCTATTTTTTCTTTTCTTCCCACTTTTAAGATGAACTAGACAATATGAGCAGCACTGAAAGGATCTCCTTCTTACAAGAAAAACTACAGGAAATACGAAAATACTACATGTCGTTGAAGTCAGAAGTAGCAACCATAGACAGGAGAAGAAAACGATTAAAAAAGAAAGACAGAGAAGGTAACTTTCAGATTTGCTTCATGCTTCCCATGAGATGTTAGCTTTCTTGAAAATACGTTAACTCAGAGCAACTCGAGTTGAAGTGACAGTATTTATGGAAAAAAAAAAGAAGTATTATCATTTGTTTGTGTGTATACATATTTAGAAAGAATATTTGTGGCTTTTCAGAACTTGAGCCTAACGAAAACATTTTGTAATTGAGTGTTAGAAACTTGGACTTCCTAGGGCAAGCTGGGTTTGAGTTTTCAGTCAGCGTAATGACTCGTCCTATTTATCTTTCCAGTCGGTCTGTGATGCAGAAAGGTCAGCTTACCCAGCGTGTGTGAACGTAGCAGGGAAAGCAATTGGCAAAAAAATCTGTATTAGTTTTCTGTGACCGTGCCGCTTCTGTGAGGTCTTTTGAACAACCTGATAACCAAGGAAACCCTCGTTGTGACACGTACTTTGATAATCCGATGCTGATCTGTTGTTCTGTATATTCAGTGTCACACACAGGAGCATCCATGTCATCTGCTTCATCGGACACTGGAATGAGTCCCTCATCATCTTCTCCTCCACAGAACGTGCTTGCTGTAGAATGCAGGTGATACACGCTTCTCTGCCTTGCCAGCAACTTGCTGCCATGGACATAAACCCTGAAATTCAACCACAGAAAGCACTCAACTGGTTTGACATTGCCAAGTCTTTTCTGTACACACTTCCACTGCTGGACTGTACCTGTTCTCCCCTCCTCCCCCTTCTTTTGTTTAATTTACTGTTCAGAGAAATTAAGCTCATTGGTAACTGAAGGTTTGTAGGCACAACGTGACATGCTTGTCATTGTGTTTGTTTTTGTTTTGTTTTTATTAACGCAGAGAAAGGGCACTTATCAAATTTGCAAAGTTATGTTCAATGAAGCATTCAGGTGTTCTAGGGAGATCGTAGAAAAGCAAGTGCACCGAGCAGACATCAGAGTATTCTCAGAAAGAACTGCTGCACTTTCACCGGGCTGTACGTTAACTTGGTGAGTAGTTCCTCTTTGTGGAAGCACTTGCTATACAGAACTGCCAAAGTATGTGTTCAGCAATGTGCCCAGTTTTAAAGGTGTAAATGGGACAAAATAAATTGTGAAAGGAAGTGTAGTTGACTGAAAACTACAGTTGTAATAAGTCTTCCACTTTTTATAGGATTTTTGAGCACACGATTATGCAAATATTTTAATGTTTATTAATGTTTACAGTGGAATTGTGAATAGGTTTTCAGTGGACTATCTTATCCCTTGACAAAAATATTTTGTCTTTTTTCTATGTAATTTCAGAGTTTTTATTTTGTTACAAAAAGACGAAAAATGAAATATATAACAACAGTGAAGTTATTTAACAAGATTTCTAAAGCTGAAATTTTTGTGTAAAATAAGGTATCTTGCAACTTGTTAAATATATTTATTCAGACATTGGATGTTGTATTTTTATGTATTTTTTAAAATATTAATAAAATTGGAAAAAAAAAAATTCTAGGTTAGTTCACTCTTTCGCTAAAATGTACCAGTTATGGCTCTTAAGGAGGGTTGATCCAGTAGCCATGCCTGTATTTCCCATGGGTCTGTCTACGTATCCTCCACACCAGAGATCTGTAAGCGGGCATCTGGATTAAACTATGACTTTATTTGGAAACTTTGGCAGTCCTAGTACTTACGTTGTTTTGAGGAACAAAATTTATCGGGTTGCCCTTAAGATACTTTGTCACAAGTTCTTATGTTTGCTGTACTGCCGAATGAATTTATATCTCCCAAAGTTGAGATGCAACAATAAAGTAAAGCAACTGTGTATGCTTTGTCTGTGGATTGTCCCACAGACGGATACAGTTTGTAAATAACTTCCAAAACCATGTATTTAAAACAGTTTGCATATACATTATGTATAAAAGTGATTTTTTTATCAATTTTTTTATTCATGTTTGTACATTGAAAGGGGTTCTTAACCCCTTTTTCTGTGTTTAATATGCTGTAGAGTAATAACATAGATGCTCTAGACTGTATATCGGGATATTCTGGTTCACAAGGCAGAAAGTCAGAACGAAACACTAGTGATGGTGTAGCATTACTAAAATTGATGTCTCTTGAAATTTCATTTTACAACATTTGTCAACTTGTGATTCCAATTCCTTCCATTTTCGCAGAAAATTAAAGAAAAAGTACTCTTGTAAATGCACTTTTTCTGTCTTTTCTTAAGCAAAGCAGAACTATTTCAATGTAAGATAAATATGGAGCTCACTAGACAGCATTAATAAAGGCCATGTTTTAAACATAGGCTTTATATTCTATTTTTATTTAAGTGATTGTTCTTGTAAATGTCTGGGCTTACCTAAATAGGAAAATTAATCTCCATAAATTGTTGTAAAGACTTTTTTTCAGAGCTAACTTCTCCTGTTAATCTTATAATAGCGGCGAATAAAAAGCAATACTCATTCAAAAGGAAATAACATGGGTCACATTTTCTCAGATCATCTTCCATGTTCCATATTTGCAAAAGTAAATTCTACGTTCGGTGCAATGATAGGATTAATCACGTGTAACGCCGGTATCTAACTGTCTGCCCGCTGTGTGAGATCCCAAACAGGGCAGGTGCCCACAGGGGGATGAGGGATGAGCTCTGAACCGACTGCACTTCAGTGCAGACGTTCGCAGCGGGGGCGCTGGCTGCTGCTCCTCTCTCAGGAAGGGTCAGATGCTGCGTGGATGACAGAAGGTACAGCTCCGTGAAACACGGACACCCCTTCTAACTGGTGCTCCTTGACACAGAGAACTCGCTTCCTTCCCTTTCCACCCGCGTCCCCTGCACTCGTACTCATCAGGCAGACACCCGCACCCCCCAGTAACCACCATTACTATTCTGGCAGAACACTAAACCCGCAGGAAAAGGCGGAGTTTCTGCCCAGCCACTGGCAAAGCCTCTGGCCTGTCACTGCTTTCCTAGTTTTACCTTTCCGGCAAGAAGCGTATCAGCCAGATTATTCAGTAGATGTTTAAAGTAGTTTCTTACGACATTTAAAAACACCACAGGGAAAAGCAGATTAACTGTATAACATGGGGCTATCCTGTACTGAAGGTGAAATCCACAAGAAACCCCCAATAGGTCTCTTATTTCTAACTTTACTATAATCCCCTTATTTCTGCTTTGTTGCCATAAAATAAACTCCAAAGTGTCTTCCGCTGAGGAAGTGCATTTAATGAAAGCTTATGCTTCTGATACTGCAGTAGTTACAAATACACTGAATTGGGTTGTTGGGGGGTTTTTTCAGGAAAAGATTAGGTATCCCATTTGCAAGAGCAATCAAAAATAAAGCACCCTCTTGGCAGGGTTCATGCTGTTCTCCTGCCTTCTCATCTTTTACAGTTTTTCTCAAAATTATGTATTTTATTTAAAGCTTAGTTATGAGGTAAAAAAAATGTAATTAAGATTATGGGATCAAACACTGGTAGAACTGTTGAAAAAGAACAGGGCTGTAAGAGAATTCACTCTCCCCCCACCTCCTGCAGTTGATACAAGAATGGGCGGATTTATTATTTTCATATTGGCATATCTCTAAAAGCTGGAAAAAACTTTGCATGCAAGGACATAAGAAAAGGTTCGTTTCCCTACTTGTTTTGTACTTTCTTTCCATAAAGATACCAGCTACACCTACACGAACGAGTTTATTTTCTCTCTGATGTGTCAGTTTAGCAACACCCCGTTAAATCTCCACTTGTTTCTGGCTTCGCCATCGGATCGCTTGTGTTTGAGAAACCTTCTCTTGCTTAATCAGTTTGATCAGGCAGGAGAAGCAAAGATGTCAGAACAACAATTACAAGACAGTATTTCAACAGAGATTAAAGACATTTAAAGTAGTAATTAGTGGAAGAAAAGCGTAACAAGGGGCAGTAAAAGTGAATATCTTCATGAAGCATAATGTATCCCGCCTTCCCAGGGAGCAGCAAAGACCTTTAATTTGAAGGGCAGCAGCAGAAGAGAAAAGGTGATTAAATCACTACTTTGCTGTTTATGGTATTTTGCACAAGTTCCACTTTAAATTTTTTTTAAAGGTCTAGTATCAGAATAGCCTAGGCAATTTTTTTCAATGGATACACGTTTTTGTTTTACGTGTAGAGCACCACAGGGTAATGGCCACCAAAATGACGCAGGAGGGCTGTGATGGGGAGCTGGAAAGAGAATCTGAATTTCACGGTTGTCTCAGTCAGACTGTCCACCCTTGGGAGAGCCTTTCTCTCTCCAGATAGGTTTGTCAACCAGATGGAATTTCACATTAAAAAAAATGAATATTCTTATAAAATGTTCTTCCTTTTCCCCATTAAAAATATTCTTGGATAGCTGAGGCAGCCAAGTGGGTTTTCTGGGCAGCAGTTACTGGAATTCTTTTATAGCAGTAAATCCAAGAAATGCTGTCATTTTCTTTTTAAGAAAAGTGCACATTTGGTTTGATCGTTTGAAACAAATCTGATGGATGAGCCGGAAGACGGATTTACAAGCTCAAACAAAAGATGAATGTGTTAACAGAAGTATGCCGAGCTGTTTACTTCACTGTGCCCTTGTGTTTTGCAGATACTGTGCAGTAAAATCTTGGTTATTTTTACTTCTCTGTACTTGGGATTTTATTATTTGCGACAACGTGCAGGATAAAGACTACCCCTGGAGATGTAAGGCATGTAATAAAGCAGTGGAACCAATGGGGATGGCGGCAGAGACTGACTCACTGTAATTGTAGGGCTTAGGAAAGAGACATTTATAATTAGTTCACACTATGTCAAGCTATTGCCCTCAAATTTTCAGAAAATCTGTCATTCTACCATACTATCTTCCAACAGATAGGATGATTTTTTAAGAGGTCTCTGGGAGAGTTTAAAATCACTCACATCTATTAGTTACCGCTATGTAGCTGGTATTTACTGGGGAGGGAGGTGTTTGTTTTAGAAATCTGTGCGTTCCCCAAATTCCACAAGTCTTTATTAGTCTCATCCATTGCTTTGGAGGAATATGTAAATTCACTTTTTCATGTTACAGTGTTACTGGTCTCAATAGGTGCTTGTTTTAATTCAGTTGAGCGGTGGATTTTGCAGTTACTCAGAGCCCAGTGACTCACTGCATTGTCATTTTAAAAAAATGAAAAGGTAATCTTAATTGTGAAACAGACTGCTTCGCACCCTTTCTAAGAATAGGACTTTCCTGGCTTCCTCTTTGTTTTGAATCACCGAAGCCCTATTTCTGTTGGTATTCCTGCTTCTTCCCATTTCCAGAGAAATCCTACTTTCTGTTTCAGAGCTGGTTGGTTCTGCTTCAGGTCTGCAACTACCTGCTATTTATATTAGTTAGCAGCCCTCTGCTGCTGTTTATCCTTCACCAATAGTTGCCAAAGGTAAGAAGGTGTCTGTTTTGTGACAGTGGGCTTTCATTCACCAATACAGCTCGCTCATTATGAAAAAACCACAGAAGCATTGCGACACTGTCTTCTCTTTTGTTGCTTGCCAGCAAAGAAAATGGGCACTAGAGCTCCATTACAGCTGTGGGAACCTGCAGGTTGTTTATCAACGATATGTTTGCTTAACTCTCGCTCCGAGCCTTGCCAGTGAGGGGCACAGTTACACGTTACTGGCGGTGCCTCTCTCTTTCCCAGCTCTTCAGTCACCCAACAACATTTCCATTCCTGCCCTGTCAGTGTCTTCAGCTATTTCTAAACTCCTCTAATCCCTCATCTGGGTACAGCTTGACCTAATTTGCGATGATGCTGCCAGCGATGCCAGTTATGTAAGGAGGGGTAAAAGGTGGAATTTGCGTGAAATACTTTGTTATATTGCACAAGGGTGTTTCGTTTTTTTCTTTTTAACAAGACACTTGTTTATGTGTATGCGCAGCTTAAAACCCTATCTCTTGATGCTCATTCATTTCCTGAAAATTACTTCCCTGAGGAATGGGAAAGGTTTAAAGCTATTTAAAAAGAAGAAAAAAAGAAGAAGGAAAAAAAAAAAAAAACAATGCCTTGATTCCTTCTGCTTACACTCTGCTTCCCACCCTGCAAGTGACCACCGTGTGCCGTCCCAGCAGCTTCTCCACGGAGTACAGCTCTCTAGTCCAGCCCCTCACTGCCTGCCCTAGGTCGGGTCTCTTACAAGTGGCTTTTTCTACACTCATCATTTTTCCTCTTTCGTTGCAGTTTACGGCCCTGTCAGGGCGGCGGCTCCGGCTCTGCT